TGTGTTGAGGGCCAGTTGATGGCGTTGTCTACAGATCTGTTGGCTCTGTAGTCGAGAACTGCAGGGGTCAGGAGGGGGAGGGGAGGACATGAGATGGAGAGGACCATCGTTCAAATGACTTCATGACGACAGACGTAGTGCTACAGGTCTGTAGTCATTGAGTCCTGTGATCCTGGCTTCGTCGGGACGGGGGCAATGATGGAGGATTTTGAAGCAGGCCGGGACTTGGCAGGACTGCCGAAGGAGTTGAAAATGTCAGTGAACACAGGAGTTAGTTCACTCGCGGCAGTGTCCAGAGTGGCTGGAGACGACTTGGGTCCGGGCCAGGAGCTTTGCGGGGGTGCAGCCACAAGAAGAGTGTTTAATACCTCTGTGCCAGGACTTGGCTGCTTACAGTTTCGTCCCTGAACTGAGATTTAGCTCTTTGTATCCGCTGCGGTCCCCTCCCTGAAAGGAGCCGACAAGACATGGCATCCATGCCACCTTACAGGGCACCTTAGCAGTGCTATTCGGCCCAGGGACATAGGCTCTCCACCGGCTGTCCGGGGGCTTAGCACGGTGGGTGGAGGATCCTTCCTCTGGCCATGTTATACCTGCATGCTGACACGCCCCTGCTAAATGATAGGCATGAGAAGAAGGTAAGAACGCCTACCGCAATGATTGCGCATACTGACGATGTAACTGAACTTGAAACGGCTTGAATAGTTCCAAAAAGTTGACATGACACAACTGTGTTCCTCTTCCAACGCTTCGGCATCAGAACAATAGTTTTGATCAGATGTTTTTTCAGACCGTAACCGTAATCTTTTGCTTGTAATGGTTGATGTTATACTAGGACATAAAGCCATCACTTGAATCACCAGGCCGAAAGGAGTGGGAGCTCAGGACAACGCCAAACGGCGACGCATTTTGGGCTTTGGTACACCCAGGTTCCCCAGCATAAAGACGTTGCCCTAAACCCGTTACCAGTGATCCAACGATTTTTCTGGCGGTCAGACTCTATTAAAACTCAGCAGCCACTAGCTTTCTTGGACAAACCCCCTGGTACTCAGTGACCCTCCCTCGCTAAGCACATCAACCAAGCAGATACCTCCCTCCCAGCCCTTGACCTATCTCATACAGTAAGTATAAGAGATCGGTAACGCCATCCGCTTGGGAGTTCTTCTACAACTAAGTTGATTTCACGACCTAAAGAAAACAAATGAGAGTTCAAGTTGTTTCCCCTCCCAACTGAACCAAATTCCGGTCTCCCAAAACCAGGAGATGAACTGGAGACATTCCTGCAACCACCGATTTAGCTGTAACAGACAGCAAGGCTACACAACATGATGCACTTGCTTTGACAACAGTCAGTAAATCTGTAATGATATGTGGACATTTATTTAGACTCCCATGAAAAAGAGGTCCGTATGCTCAATGGGACTTTCCTGTTAAATAAAGTAAAAAAAATAATATATATATATATATAATAAGTATAATATATGTATAAATATTAGGCTGTCCAAATCAATCGCGTTATCACGGTTAATAACCGTTTTCATTAACGCTAAAAAAATAAATTAACGCATTAACTGCCATTGACGTGTCAACTCTTGTTGGTTGTACCCAAAAGAAGAAAGGTTGTGAGCATGTCAAACAGACTTATTAGCAGAGGCTCGGGAAGACCTGCGCACAGAAAACAGGGAACTCAAGAGCCATGGAGAGTCCAGGAACAAAATTCAAGCATGTATTGGACACGGAAAACCAATAGTGAGGCGCCACACAGACGGTTTCGCTCAAAAGGTGAGATTTTAACTTATTTGTTTTAAATGTCATATATATGCCAGACAATGATAGGGAGCACTATAGGAAGACATATTTAGGCAGTGTATAGAGTAAAAAAAGTTGATTGGTGTTTAGTTACTCGTTAAGTATAATTTTTGGTATGAATAAAAATAGTCTTACAATGTGAAAATCCTCATTTAACTTACAATTGAGTGGATTTGAATAGAATTTAAAAATGCGATTAATCGTGGAGTTAAACTTCACTTTACTATGCGATAATCAACTACAAAAAAATAATACGTTGACAGCCAATATATATAATATGATATATATATATATATATAATATAAAATATGGAAATATATAAACTTTATTTTTATATCATTTTGGCATACCACTCCAGATGGAGCCCCGCGAACCAGAGATTTACGCGTTACCACACTTTGAGTAAACACTGAAACTACGTCAATACAGACAACAGACTGACATAAACAGTACAGACCAAAGGTTGGATGCTTTGACATTCAATGAGTTGTAGATTCACTACTCAGCCTGTGTTAAGGGCAAGTTGACCAGGCCTCCACATTCACCAACTGTGGAGGCCATCCAGATGGTTTTGTGAGATTGGACACAAGTGCAGGTGAAAGGCCAACAAATGCTAAGCATCTCAGGGATTCGCCTTCAAGACTGTTGAATACCTTTTCAAACACTACCTCTTGAAGCTCATCAAGAGAATGCCAATGAGTGTGCGCAGCCAGTACAGAGCAAAAGGTGCTACTTTGAAGAACTTAGAATATAAGCACATATTTTCATTGTTTCATACTTTTTTACTATAAGTACATACATAATTCCACATGAGTAATTCATCAGTGTTGATGCCTCAGTGGGCATACTACAATTTTCATATAGTGAAAAATAATGAAAAATATGAAAATAACAACAAAGCTTTGAATGAGAAAGATGTGTCAAAACTTTTTTATACACGTTGTCAAATGGGCTTTCATTAGTACTTCTCACATCGTCACTGGTAAGAGACGTAATATTTATACACTTCGAGAACTATACCACCATTATCACAGCTACTACAAAGTCTTTAAGCATAGAGCTTAAAACATACGTGTAAAACAAACTTAAAATTTTGTATTTTTCTATTTTTTTTTTCATTTTTTAGTGTGTGTATGTAATGGTAACATCTCTGTATTGCAATCCCTCTTTCAAGTTTAATTTGTACCAACACATTGATTAAACATTGTAATTCTATAAAAAGTGTTGTGAGACACCGTCCCTATTCCGAACAACACAACACAGACAACAAGCAGCAATCCAACAACAAATCATTGTCACATTTAATTGAGAAGTAAATGATAATTCTTTTTTTTAAAAACTCTTGATATGTGCTTTCTAAATAATTTCCCTCAGGTTACCAAACGGAGGTGCCAAAGTTTCCCCAGAGCCACTCACACCAAGCCAGAAAGTCCCACTACTCTAAAACCCTCACAAACCAGGCCATGCCGCCCAGCCTGTGCTCCCAAAGCTGGGCACCCAAAGGAGAACCGCCCAACCACACCCAGCATCAGCACAAGCATCAGAAACATGGACTTTTATGATCCGTCCCGACCAGGGCATGTCAGGGCGTGAGCACTGATTCCACGAGAGCACCAGCCGACATGTCCCAGAAGTGAAGCAAGACTGACACATGATGTGGTTATGTCGATGGTCTAAGAAATCCAATGATTGATGAACTCAAGATTACTGTGGATTTTTTTGTATTCAAAGTCTAACAAGAATCCCAAAAAAAAAAGTGATCCTAATAAAATAAAAAACTAAAAGATCCAAACTTTGAAACCACAACAAATTTAATAAATCCATAGTATTGTTTCTCTCTCTCAAAACTCTTTAATTCCATTGATAGTTTATCACATGTAAGTATTTGGCCTCATCACACCTTTAACTTAAGCTTTTCAGTGAAAAAAAAGAGACTCCTCTAAGCAATCAGCTCCTCGTATGTAAAAGACAGCATTGTTTTCTATAATGAAGAAAGTCATTTTGTTTCCTGATTGTTCACGAAAAATGTTACTTATACAAGACATGATTGGAACCTATTAATAAAGGTTTTGGGGGCAAAAGAAAGAAATAGAGACAACACCAAATAAATATTTGCCTTTAGTTTTGTGTGGCAGAAAGCCAGGAGGAAGCGCAGCATCATCAGAGGCCTCCTCCAGCCCCGCAAACCCCAGCCTCGCCCCTGTGGCACCCGCGCTGGCAGAGCTCTGTACCATACATTGGTCAGGACACCGATGATATCTGAGCTTCGAGAGTCAATGACGTACTTTGGAACTGGCTCAAAGAAGTACTAAGGTTTGACTACCATGGATTGAAATCATTTTTCATTAAAGTGGTTCTTCCACAATCTCGCGTCCTCGAGCTTACATCACTCCACATTTCCTGTTTCAAAATCTTCCTCTAAAGGGCCGATAGCCTGGAGGACTAAAGGGGCGTGAACGAGACTGGGCCGTTTAACATTGTGCTCTTGGCGGGGCGGCTGACGTCTGGTCCCACTTCTGGCCAGTGTTGGGGGGCGCCAGATTCAAAATTCAAAATGTAGTAAATACAGGTCCGCCTCAGATGGCGCCTCCACAGACGGTTTTAGGCAGAAGTGCTGACCCTTATCTCGCTCAACAACACAACGATCAGAAGAGAAAGGATAACAACATAAACAATAAACAGAAAAACAACAAAGACCAGAAGAAAAAAGCCAAACACACAGAAAGCAAACCAAAGGCAAAAAGTAAAAAACAACACATAAAACAGCAAAGACACATTAAGCGGGAAAAAAAAATCAACTTCTAGTCCCACCACACTGTGCTGCCCAAGACCCAGCCACAAGAAGCCTCACTCCCAACACAAACGCTTAAGCAAAGGAGAGGATGAAAGAGAGAGAGAGTCAACTTCTGCCTAAAACCGTTCTGTGAGGCGCCATCAGCTGGCGACCTTAATCCTACATATGAATTTTGAATCTGGCGCCAACACTGGCACAGAAGTTGGACCTTACTTCAGCCGCCCCCGCCCAGAGCCATGTCAAACGGCCCAGTCTCGTTCACGCCCCCTTTAGTCCCCCAGCTACGCCATTTAAGGAAGATTTGAACAGGAAATGGTTAGTGACGTAAAGCTCCGCGAGCGGGGGTAGAACCACTTAAATGAAAATGATTTCAATCCAGGGTAGTACAAACCCTTACTTACCTTCTTTGAGCAGTTTCAAAGACGTCATTGACTTCGAAGCGGATCTCACGTTGTCCGACCAATGTAGCTGGTACAGAAGCCTCTGCAGCGCGTGCCACAGGGGGAGGCTGGGGTTTGGGGGGGAAGGCGGCCTCTGGCTGGATGCTGCGCTTCCTCTGCTTTCTGCCACACAAACCATAAAGCAACATATTTAATTGGTTTGTCTCTTTTCTTCTTTGCCCCAAAACCTTTATTAATAGGTCCAATCATACTTGTTTAAGTAGACAAATTGTGAACAAATAAGAACACAACATGCGCTTCATCTAAAGAAAACAATGCTGTCTTTTACTTACTGAGAGCTGATTGGCTTAGAAGTACTCTCTTTTTTCACTGAACAAGCTTAAGTTAAAGGTGTGAAAGAGCCAAAAATACTACATGTGGAAAACTATCAATGGAAGTAAAGAGTTATGAGAGAGAGAAAAAAAAATAACTATGGATTTATTAAATTTTTGTGTTTCCAAATTAGGATATGTTTTAGTTTATTATGTATTAGGATCACGTTTATTTGGGATTCTTGTTAGACTTTAGAATACAAAAAATCCAACAATAACTCGTTGATCAGTCCCACGCATTGTACTAGTCCATACACATAAACCACATCATTGTCAGTCCCTGCTTCCCACTTTGGGACATGTCCCGCAGGTGCGCTGTGACCCTCAAGTGCTTCACCCTGGACATGCCCTGGACCGGACGTTCATAAAGTCCATGTAGTGCTGTGCTGCTGCTGATGCTGGGTGTGGTGGGCGTTTCTCCTTGGGTGCCCATCTTTTGGGAGCACATGCTGGTGGGATGGCCTTGTCTGTGAGGGTAGAGGTAAGTGATGCGTTTCTTGCTGATGTGATTGGTAACACTGGAAACATGGCACCTCCGTTCTGGTAACCTGGGAAAATATTTAGAAAGAATATATAAACGAGATTTAAAACAAGACTTATAATTTACTTCTCCAAATAAAATGTGAAAATGATTTATGTAAGCTTGGATGCTGCTTGTTGTCTGTGTTGTGTTGGTTCGGATAGGGGACGGTGTCTCACAACTACTTTATTATAGAGTACAATGTTTTAATCAATGTGTTTGGACATATTAAACTTTTGAAGAGATTGCATACAGGAGATGGGACATACATACACACCACTAAAAAATGAAAAAAAAAAAAATATAAAAAATACAAGCATTTTAAGTATTTTTTTTACAAGTATTTTAAGCTATAATGCTTAAAGACTATGGTAGTAGCTGAGATAATGGTGGGTAGTTCTAGAATGTATAACATATGACTTCTCCTCTTCCCGCTAAGGTGAGAAGTAATAATGAACGCCATTTTTCACCTGTAAAAAAAAGTTTGGACACCCTTCTCATTCAAAGATTTTTTTAATTTCATATTTTCATTATTTACACTATGAAAATTGTCGATATCACACTAGATAGGCATCAACACTATGATTAACTCATGGGACTTATGATGTACATAAGTAATAAAGGATTAAACAACGAAAAGAGGTCCTTATATTCTAAGTTCTTCAAAGTAGCACCTTTTGCTTCTGATTACTGCGTCGCACACTCTTGCATTCTCTGTTGTGCTTCAAGAGGTATGATTGAAAAGGTATTCCAACAGTCTTGGAAGGAGATCCCTGAGATGCTTAGCATTTGGTGGCCGTCACCTTTCACTCTGTGGTCCAACTCATCACAAAACCACTGGATTGGCCTCCACAGTCGGTGACTGTGGAGGGCCTGGTCAACTAGCCCTTACACAGGCTGGAGAGTGAATCTACAACTCATTGAATGACAAAGCATCAAACTTTTGGTCTGTACTGTATTTGGTCCAGTCCTGACTGTCCTGTAATTGACGTCAGTTCAGGGATTCTCAAGTGTGGTAAGCGTAAATCACTGGGTACCTGGGCTCCCTCTAGTGATGCAAACATGAAAACAAAAAATAAATGATATAGAATATCATATATATATCATATATATATATATAAATTATAATTAGGGCAGTCACAAAAAAAAAACGATTATTTTTAGTTGATTAATCGCTCAAAGTAATGGTGATAACCTCACGATTAATCGAGTTTTAACATTCTATTTCAAATCCCTCTCAATTGAATTTAAATGAGATTTCAAATGTAATGACACATTTTTATTCATACAAATTACTATAAAGAGTACTAAACACCAAATCAACTTTTTTACTATACACTGCCTAAATAAGTTTTCCTATAGTGCCCCTACATGTCCTGGCCATATATTTGACATTTTAATCTCAAATTAGTTAAAAACTCACTTTTAGCCTAAACCGTCCGGTGAGGCGCCCTCTCTATGGTTTTCCGTGTCACTACATTAGAATTGTCCTGGACGCTCCATTGGCTCAGAGTTCCCCTAGTTTTCTGTGACGCAAGTCTACCCGAGCCACTGCAATAAGGCTGTTTGACTTCTCACAACCTCTAACTTTTTGGTACAACCAATAAAACAAGAGTTGAGACACGGTCAATGGCAGTTAACTTCGTTAATTATTTTTTTACGCGTTAATGAAAACGGTAATTAACGTTGAATACGCGATAAGTTTGGACAGCCCTAATAATATAATATATATATATATATAGTATACTATATATTATTATTTTTTTTACTTTATTTAACCAGGGGGGGGAGGGAAGGGGGGGGGGGGGGAGGGGGGAGGGGGGGAAAGGGGGGGGGGGGGAAAGTCCCATTGAGATTATGGACCTCTTTTTCAAGGAGTCCTAAATAAAAGTCACATACAATTACAGATTACTGACTGTTGTCAAAGCAAGTGCCCTACCTGTTGTGTATCCTTTGCTTTCTGTTACAGCAACATCGTGTGCAGGAATTGTCACATTTCATCTCCGGTTTGGGAGACCGAAGTGTTCAGTTGGACGGGGACAAACTTGAACTCTCATTTGTTTCTTAGTCGTGAAATAACTTATTGAAAAGCCCTCCCAAGCGAGTTACGATCTCTATACTTACTGTATAGAGATAGGTAAGGGCTGGGAAGGAGGTCTGCCTTGGTTGATGTTGCTGCGTGGGAGGTCACTTGAAGTACCAGGTGTTGTCAAGCAAGCTAGTGCTGCTGAGTTTAAAGAGTCTGAACCGCCCCCCTGAAAAAATCGTTTGGATCACGGTAACGGGTTTAGGCAACGTGCCTTTATGCAGGGGAAACTGGGTGTAACCAAAGCCAAATTGAGTCGCCATTGGGCAGTTGTCCTGAGCTCCACTCCTTTCAAGCCTGGTGATCAAGTGATGGCTTATGTCCAATTATAACATCAACATTACCAGCACAATATTACGGGTACGTGTTCTTAAAAAACATCTGAACAAAACTATTGAGCTTGATGCCGATGCGCAGGAAGAGGACACAGTTGTGTCATGTCAACTTTTTGGAACATTTTCATGTCCATTTCTAGTTCCAGATAAATCGTATGCGCATCCATTGCGTAGGGCGTTCTTCCCTTCTTCCCTCCTTGCCTATCACTTATCAGGTGGCTTGTCCAGCATGCAGGAATAACACTGCAGAGGAATGGGGGGGGATCCTCACCACCCACCCGTGCTAAGGCCCACACCGGGACAGCACGGTGGAGAGCCTATGACCCTGGCGGAAATAGACGTCTTTAAGGTCCCTGGAAGGTGGATGGATGCCATGTCCTTTCGGCTTTCAGGAGGGGGCCCGCAGCGCTACAAAGCAGCTAAATATCCGTTCAGGGACGAACTGAAAGCAGCCAAGTCCCCGGGGGCACAGAGATAGTAAACAAACTCCCTCTGAGGCTGCACCCCCCGCAAAGCTCCTGCCCGGACCAAGGGTCTCCAGCTACACACCTCTGAGACACTGCGCGAGTGAGCTAACTCCTGTGTTCACTGACATTTTCAACTCCCTCTCTGCATTCCTGCCATGTCCCCCGGCCTGCTTTCACTCACACCTCAATCATTGCCCCCGTGCCCAGAAAAGCCCCAGGATCACAGACTCAACTGACTACAGACTGTTAGCACATACTTCTGTCGTCATAAGTCATTTGGAACGCCTGGGGTCATCTCCCATCTCAAGTCCCTCACCTCCACCCCTCCTGGACCCCTTCATTCGCCTACAGAGCAACAGATCTGGAACATCTCATCACCCTGGCCCCACCACATCCTACAGCCTTGGCCCTCCCCGGGGACCGACGCCAGGTCCTGTTCGTGGACTTAAATCGGGTCTCTGCCTCTCAACACGATACCTGCCATCCCTGCTCCAGGCCAAGCTCTCCCAGCTCAACGTGCCCGGTTCACTCGAGGGGGATCACTGACTTCCTGACAGACAGGAATCAGCGAGTGCGTCAAGGATTGAATGTCTCGACTCTCGATCTATAAATACAGAGAGCCCCACAGGGCTGTGTGCTTTCCTCCCCTGCTCTTTTCCCAGTACACACCCACTGCACCTCCAGCCAGCGACTCTGTGACTGCTTCAAGTTCCAGTGGATGACACCTCCCTCATTGCCTCATCTCCAATAACGATGAGTTCCGCTACAGGAGGGAGGTGGACCGGCTGGTGTCCTGGTGCAGTGGTAACAACCTGGAGCTGAACGCCCAGGAAGACAGTGGAGATGATTGTGTGACTCAGGCTGAGCACTGTCCCCAGCCCCCCCTTCCTGATGGACTCTCCCTTCCGTTTCCTGGGCCCCACCATTCACCAGGACCTCAAGTGGGAGCATGACCATCACTCCCTCAGCAAGAAAGGCCCAGCAGAGGATGTACTTCCTGCAGCAGCCTCAGAAAGCCAGCTGCCTGCCAGATGTTTGGAGCAGTTCTACACGGCCATCATCGAGTCCAACCTCACCTCCTCCGTCCCGGGTGTGGTTTCTCTGGATCCACAGTCAGGGACAAACAAGACTACAGCGCATTGTCGGCTCTGCAGAGGAAGTGATTGGCCGAAGCATTCCATCGCTGCAGGAACCTGATACGTGGCCGCCGACTCGAAGTCCGGCGTCGTATCACAGGCCCCCGACCCTCCTCACCCTGCACTGGACTATTCCAACCACTCCCCTTTGGCAAGACTGGCGGTCCATCATGACTATAACCTCCCCGTCCACAAGAACAGTTCTCCCCTCATGCTTGTTGGACTCTTGAACACTCTTAACCTGTCCCCCGCCCTTTATAAAAGTCACTTTACTGCCGCATCATACCACTTACTTCACTGTACTGCTGTCACCTACATTGGTGCACCTAGTGCACTTGTATATTGTAAATAGTAACGTTAACTCTATTCTAATGTAAATGTATTCCTTAGAAGTGTTTTTTATTCTTTAAGTTTTAGTTTTTTATTATTTTCTCTATGAATGTTTGCACTGAGCCAAGCAATTCCAGTCTGTGACATCCTGTTACTTACTGGCAATAAAATAGGATACTGATTCAGAGAATTTAGAATGCAATAGAATGCCCGTACGCGGGGGTTCCTGAACATAGCCGGTGTCTCTTCCCTTCTGTTATGTTACGGCCTAGAGCCGGGTCTAACAATATACAAAAGTTATTTTCCCATTCTGTGCGGGCAAAGGGAACAGAGAACAACAAAATCATTTGATTCGCAAACATAAGAACCAACATCTCTTTGGTTGAGTAAATGGCAGAAGTACTGTAAGAGGCCCATCAGACCCAAGCCCTAATAAACAAAAGTGCACCCGGGTCCAAACCCTCTGGTGGACAAGAATGCCATCGCACTCGGGAATATAATTTCACAGTGGTGAGTCAAGGCTTTACCGTTTGTTAATGAATTGAAAATTTAATTGAATCAGTTATTTACGTACAGTTGTTAGCGTTTTCTTTCCCTATATTTAAGCACCGTTGTACTGTTGAAATGAAGTAAAATGTTACAATGGCTCTCAATATTAAATATACTTCTTTAGGAATGAAACCTCTGCCTTGTTCTTGAGAATACCTATAGGCTTATACGCCAACAGAATAGTGTTGGTCTTTTTGTGGTACTTGAGAGGTAAGTAGTTTCTGAGGTGTTTACATGTGCAAAAAGTTTGAGAACACAGACGTAGTTGATGCCAGCTGCCATAAGCTGTACAGAATGTGAATTTCATAATACTTTGTGTGTGTTTAAAAAAAGATGACCTGTTACGTGGTGCTGTTGTTACGTGTTGATTCTGATTTTTTTTTTTTTGGGGGGGGTTTGGGGGGTGGTGGGGGGAGGGTTTTTTGGGGGGGTTGGGGCTGAGGTGTCCTTCCTCAAGTGGAGGAGTTTACAGTCCTCTTAGGTCTTGTTCCTTTTTCAGCTGGGGAAGGATGGAGCATGAAGTTAGATATCATACGGATTTGAGCAGCATGTGTGGTATGCGGTCCACTGTATCAACTATATTGTCGTGAAGAGTCAGGCAAAGCTCAATATAAGGTACCACCCTTAGCAAATGAATCATTTTACACATGCAAGTAGAATAGTTTTTTACCTATGTAACTTAAGTTCTACGAATAGTGACGTAGTCCCTTAGTGACTTCGCTAGTAGGAGATATCGAGGGAGAACCTCGTGACCCACAGTCACACCCAGAGAAAACAAAATAATTTGCTTCCAATCACCAGCGACCCCCTCTATAAAGGCCCGCCCCTGCACACAGCGCACCCCTCCTTGAACACTGCCAGCCGTCTAGGCCTGATGGGCACTCGTAGCTAAGGGACTATCGCACCTATCCCGTAGCACTTAAGTACAATAGGTAACTATTAATTCTACGTCATGGAGCTTACGTCCCTTAGGACTTCGATAGTGGGACACAGACGTGGACTAACTGACCGACCAAACCCAACAAACCAGTACCGCACCTGTAGGATGCCTCCTCCAAGAGCTCCAGACCAGGGCGGAAAGTCAACCGAAGCCCCCTCAAAGAGGGACCAACGTTTAACTCTGTCCCGCTGCACTCAGCACGGAATGGCCACCGAACCGGTCCGACACATCCAAAAGATAAGACCGGACGAAAGAAGAGGACGACGCCAAGAAGCCGCACGGCAGACGTTCCTCGACCTGACGCCCCCTGAGGAGGGCCGTCAGAGCCGCCACCCCATCGTGTGGAATGCGACCTGAAGCCCCCAGGGGGGGGCCATACCCAGCGTCTGATACGCCCGCCGCACAGCCTGCAACCCAGTGCGCCAGCCGGCTGACCCACAGCGGGGGCCCCCTGTTCTTGGGGCCCAGACACACAAACCTGAATGACGACGTCAGGCCAAGTAATGCCTCACGCATCTGACAGGACACAGAAGGTGCCGCCGGCACCTCCTCGGGGAGGCAGGCGGTGGCGGATAGAAAGCCCCTAATCCTAGACTCGCGACATAAAGGCCGACGTGATGACCTTGGGGAGAAAGGCCGGATGGGCCACAATACCCACCCATGGCCGTCGCCCTCTCCAAAGGACAGGCAAGACGCTTGGACAGAGAGCGCACACAAGTCGCCCGCCCTCTTAGACCGACGCCAACGGCAAGCTAGAGGGGCCGTCTAAAAAGCTGACAACTCGGGACACGCCTCCGCCGCCGTTCAAAAAGCGGATCCCACAGCCCCCTACTGACCACCCTGAAGGTCCCAACCGGGGCGTTCTCTGGAGCGGGGCCTCCGCCTGCGGCGGCCCCCCGGCAGAAAACGTTACCACGGCATGAGAACGGGCGGTTAACCCCCCCGAATCCGTCGTGACCCATGTATGGCTGCCGCAACTACCGCCAAGTGGCGACAGCCCTCCCTTTGTCAAAAAGCTTCTGTAGGAATCCCATGACCCCCTCCAGCGGGCAACGCCTGTGGATCCCAGGAACGAGAACCACACCATCTCCGAAGAGCCTCCACCTCGTGGCGGTAGGCCTCACAGTGGACGGCGCCCTCGCCCACTGAATGGTCTCCACCACCGCGGGGGAAGACCCTGGTCTACGAGGTTCCGCCTCTCAGCCTCCAAACCCCAGAGCCTGCGCCGATTATCGGCGTGAAAACAGGGTTCCCCCCCCATGGACTAGGCCCCCGGCTCGTCCGGAGGGCCCAGGCGCCATCACCGCCATGCCCCTCAGGGAAGGTGGAACCAGCGGACTGTCCAGGACCACCAGGATCACCGACCTCCTCTCCTGTTTCGCTCCTCCGCAGCAGGACCGTCAGGAGACGCACGGAGGGGAAATCGACAGCATGCCCTCTGGCCAGGGGTAAATGAGCCAGAGCGCCCATAGCCTAGAGGCGGCTCGTCCGCGGCCCTTAAGGCGAAACCCAGGGACGCCTGTGCGATTTCTGCACTGCGAAAAGGGTCAACCAATGGACGGCCGAACCTCCGCCCCCAGATCTCCGCAGCTACCCGTGGGGCCAGGCCCCACTCGTCCTGGAGTGGGCCCCCCCTGGACATCCTGTCGCCCCCACGTTCCGACCCCGGGACGTGGCGCGCCCTGAGAGACAGGAGTGAAGCGCGTCCCACAGCACGTCACCGTCGCCATGCGATGGTGGTGGCCTTTCGGAGAATTGCAGAGCGTAACCCCTCTCGAATGTTTTCCTCCACCATAATCTGTCAGCAAACCTTGCTCCCGCCAATCTGTAGAAGTCAGTGAGGGCGAACGGGATCTTGGAACACGAGACTCACTGCCCGCCCTCTCCTTGGTGTTTCCTATCAGGAGGGGGGGTGGACTAAAGGGCCGGGGGGCCCCCTGCGTCACACCGTGA